CCCTTCCTTTTTTCTGATTAGGCTATACTCCACTTTTTTCATTGCAAAAAAGAAAGTAACACTCCCATCCACTCATAAGCTTGGTACAAAAACAACTTTGGTAGTTACTTTTGAAGCTTCACTCTGCTTTCTGTATAAAGGGCAGTCTGTGGTCACTCAAGACTTTTTTTCTTTCCCCAACCCCCGCCCCCCCCCGCCCCAGTTATCCAGGCAGCTTCATGACGTGCAGGCAGTAGCCAGACAGGGTCATGGGAAGGGGGCCCTGTGCTTCTAAACTGAGTGGTTGCTGGTTAGTTTGGTATTCAAAAGAGGATAAAAATCTGGTAGATTAGTTCATTCTCAGCATGTGTAGCTAGACATGAGTAAAGATAACAGCATGAGAAACTGTTAGTACGCATACCTCAGTTCAAACCTTTTGGGAATGATTAAAATTAAAAAAAAATACATTTCACTCAGTTGCACTTAGTCGTATGTCTTGCATGCTTAGTCTAAAGACTGTAGCAGAAAAAAAAATTAGATTTTCCATATCTTTGCAGGTATCATAGCCTTGCAGAAGAACCAACTGAAAAAAAAAAAAAAAAAAAAGAATTCTCAGGCTTTACAGCAAGCAAACTTCACTATGATTTTTACAATTCTGATTCTGTATCCCCTGGGGGTATTCAGTCGCTTCTTTAGGATGGGGTTTATTATGTTGTACATATATCCCAATGTGTCTGTGTGAATCTTTGTCTTTTTTGGGGGAGGGCGGAGGGTGGTTCTTTTTTTAGATATTGTTCCTAAAAAGGAATAAATGCATACACCTGTTTGTCAAAACACCTTTGCTTTTTGTGCAACTGCTTTATATTAGTGATACTTTGAAAAAAAAAAATAGCTTTTTTGGGGAAAAAAAACTACTGTATGTAATGGAATTGCAGATTATGCTGCACATGTATTTTATTTAGTTATCCTTGCTTTAAGAATATTGGGTGATATTTCCTGACATGTGAGAGGGAGAAACTCCCAACTTTTTTTTTTTTTTGGCTTTTAAATTGTAACATAGTTGAGAGGATTTTTCCTCCCTTATTCTCATTGATCGAGCATTTTGTACAGGTTTTGTGTGTGCGCCCACGTATGTGTGTATGCGTGTGTGTGTGAATGTGTATGTGTGTGAGCAGCTGTTTTTTGATACATTGCTATTCTAATTGTGTTTATCCTGTCATTGCCTTCCTGGCTATCCTAAACAGGTTCATACATTTGAAAAGAGGGAAAAAAATGTTTTCTCCTGCTGCAGTAAATATTTTGCATGATGAAATTCCAGGGTCACACTTTCAAACTTTATTAGTGGAGGAATGATTAATAAGGGGGAGTGTCAAAGCTATTGAATTTTTGTACAAAAAAATAAGAATACAAGGTGCCAAGATAGGGAATATAATTTTTTTTTTTTTTGTACTCAAGTATACATGAGGGAGGTAGTCCTGCATATCAGGCAAATGCCTTATCAGGAGTGAGGCTCCACCTCCTTTCCTGCAGAGTGTGTGTGCATAAGACAAGTGAGGAGGCTCCCTTTGGCCAGCAGTGAAATGAAATATCAAGGTTTAGGAACAGTGACTGCCAGTCCTGCCACCTTGGGACAGTTCTAACAGTATGCCCTGCATCCTGACTAACCTAGTAGAGAACACCTTGGATTCTTAACCAAAATACGATGCAAAAATCACTTTTCCCCCCTCCCCCACAAACAACAAAGTGAAGAGATCTTTCCTCTACTCTTCACATTCCAGCAAAGGTCCATTGCCAAAGAGGCACAAGGAAGAATGTGCTAAATGAGGATTTTGACTCTTTTTGGTACCTTTTGGGTAACAGCAAACCCTCCTGATAGTTTGTATGTTTTCGAAGCCACTTTTGCTTTTTTATCCTGAGAGTCAGATTCAGAATTCCAAAGGCATCCCCTGGGTCAAGTGTAGTTCACAACACCCTGCTACCCATAAGCCTTGAGGAAAATGGTACAGTCTGGACTATGAGCATGGTGCTTCGTGTGTATGTGCTACCGGTAACCAAGTTTTTTTGTTTTGTTTTGATAAGGTATCAAAGAAACTCATTCCTTGACATCACCTGTAATTCCATCATTCCATGTCTGTGGATACAGACAATAAATAAAAAGATAAATAAACTGTTGTGTAGTCAGTACTAATTACTGACATCATAGCATTCTCAAATGCAATAAAAATGCCGGTTGTTCACGTTGGTAGCATTAGTCGCCACAGCCTAAGTTTCTTTCCCCTTCTGACCTGCTGATATTGTATGTCAGGCATATGTATTAGGTTTATTACCAGCTGCTTCCAACGCAGAATTAAAATCAATCTTAACTAAAAGCTTTCATCCTGACAGAAGGCTGAGGCTCTTAGCCCCAGAATTTCAAAGTGAAAGTGTCCACTTAGAGAACTGGAAAAAAAGAGAAGCTGCCTTTTCTCTCAGGGAAGGGAAGCACACCCTTACTTTTGTCATCAGATTTTATAAAGAAAAACAAAATGTTTAATAACTAGCATTAAGAGCAAACTAAAATTTCAGAGGAAAGCAATTTCATGAATAAT